TTTCATCCGTCCTCATCTGGTGAGATCGACCAACGAATCTCTTCTTCATGCACTTTTATACGAAATGAAGATCCCTCTAACAATGTTATCTCAGGAGATTCATCGAAACCCAGTTTTTCTTCGTATCATAAATTTCTGCTCCTAAGTGGTGGGTCGCCTTATACGCCGAGTGTAGTTTAAGGAAACTGTTTGTTTTAGGAAAACAAATAGTATGGCAGCTCCCATGCGTTTATTGTGTTATTCTTTCATTCAGCTTTTGAGTTTAATCCACTTGCACTTATATTTACGGTACATGTTTGATGACATTCAGCCTCATGTTTATAAGTGACAGTTTTGCTGCTTTGAATTAAAATTACCATGTTGAAATCAAATCTGATGTTCTTATAAGTTTTATTTGGTGTGCGGAAGAGGGGGTAGTCTTATACGGCGAGTATATAACAAAATCTATATTTTAATAGGAAAAGTCAGGGGGTCGTCTTATACGCATAATCGAACACTCCCTCCCATCTTGGCGTCTACAGCTTTTAATTTTCATATCTTCCAAATCCAACCCGTGCCATGAGTTTCTGAGTTATCTGCCATCATTGATTCGACCCAATTTAGGACCATTTTTATTATGGAATGGGCATATTGTGAAAAAAGCAAACCGGAATAAAAGACATGTTAGGCGAATTCGAGAACTCCATAAGCCTAAGCCTGTTTTATATCAGCCAGCAAAAACGGACCGATGACCTCACCTACATGTCCTATAACCTCAGCACCTTACTATCTTGGCGCACATCCACGCTTATCCCCTAAGTATAGTCATCTTATGAAAGAGCATTCCTAGCCCATGAGAATATTTTATATTCTTGAGTAGGCTTAAAAACGATAATTACAGCTTAAATAAGAGCTGTATTCACCCTGGGTTGCCTAAGGTGATGGACTGGTAGTTAATTTTTCCCATAATCACATGAGCAAATTTAACAATGCCATTGAACGTTGGTTAACCTCGATTACAAAAATATGTTCTCATCCAAACTCGCCCACACTTACGTCTCCACCTGATTCTCACCAGCATGCCTCCTGACATAAAACCAAGTGAACTCTAATTACTTGTCTCAAATAGCCGGACTGCCGATTTGCGGGTAGAATTCAGCATGGATACCAGATTACGGCATGAAAAGAAGACAAAAAGGATATCCAAGTGTGTTTTTCTGCTATTTACTTATCTGAGTAAGGCACATCTTTAACTGAAGCCAGATTAAAGGATGACACTTTGATGTCTGGCTCTTACTTTAACTTGGATATTATTCTGTCATCTGTGCCACTACACAATCCTACATAGATATCTCAAATCTTCATACCGTATTTATGGAAAGAAGTGAAGGCATGCTGCACTAACCGGGTTCGATTACCGTTGAAGTTGCTGACGCGGCCGAACCTGCTGTGCAGTCCAACTGGAATGAGAATAACTTTAGGGAAGCAAGGCTGAGTAAAATTAAATGGCACTGAGGCCTACTCATCTAATTGTGGGAAATTACACAATCAAGCCTTGACTAGTTCACAAGCTAAGCTAGGCGGCAGTAAACTGAGCGACGCGCGAAGACTCGCATTTTAGGTTTTCACAGAAGATTGATTCTTGTTATTACTATACACTCGCTGCTCCGCCCAAAAAAACAAAGTCGAAATCATGTTTTGTCCATACCCAAACCGAAGTATTTAATGATTATGAGTACAATTCGCCCTTCACCGGCAATATTGAACCAAGTCCGCCGGTCGATTATCAGAACAGATTGCCATTAGGCTTTAATTACTTAATCTGGACTAGTTTAGAGATAAAAACACAAAAGATTGGCCAACAGAGCCTCCTATTTAACTGTTGTGTAGTTTCTTCATTCTGTGAATCCATATGCTGCTAAAAGTTGAGTTAAATAGCTCTTCTCCCCAAATATCAATTTTTGAGTATCCCGTTTTAGTTATTCTATTTAATAATGACAAATTAATCAACACAAGCCAATTGATTCAACCAAACATTGCTTTAAGAGGCTTTGCTATCAAAACTAAACTGTAGCCTCATCTTCAAATGAATCGCAACCCAAACAGAACTCGAAACCATGAAAAAGTCGCTCATTCATGCAAGGATTAGCCAGATCATCTTATCAAAAGCATGAGGTGCTAAATGCTAGCTTTTGCCTTCAGTTGGACCAACATTTTCCATCCATTGACCCGCCAGCCAGGGTAAAGATGCCCTTAGAAAGTAGACTGAGAAAGATTATGCCATTGTGCAAATTATTCGATATCTTGACGACGATTTGTCTCAAAAGCTGGACAAAATGCATTCTTGTCCAGTCCCCACAGCTCACTGAAAGGAGAAGATCGAAGAACGAGTAGTAGTTGACCATGGTTATTAAATTACCGACCGAGAAGTTATGTACTAGTCGGTGGACAAAAAATAACTGATAAAGATTTCTTACCTTGATGTATATTAATTATGTGTAATGACGCCTAGAAATAATCGCATACAAATTAAAGGCATTAACTTACAATAAATGTTAATGCACTCTTCGGCATATTGTAAACAATTAAATGATATTAAAATTCAGATACTCCTGGGATCAGTCGCTGAACCATTTATCCCTCAATAAAGGATTCGTTATTTAGAATTAATTCACAAAATTTAAAATATGTCAGGAGTGTAATAAGTGCCATTGATAAAACTACTATTAACCTGACTATCCCCGGCCGTCTAGTGATTTTTCCAGAAATCGTAATATGTATATTTTTTAAACGAAGCCTTATTTCAAAACAGAATTCATACTCAATAAGAAAGAGAAAGTATCGTGCAAGTGAAAAATATACTTTTTGAGTGGCATACAGAAAAATGAGTGATCTGAAAACCTGAGAGGAACACGGGTGAACCCATAGATATGAGCATATATCAATAAGAGGGAAAAGGCTAAGATGATACATTGAGCCAATTGAAAAGACGTTAGGTAGACTAGATACGCCGTGAAATCGCATGTGCGCCACGAGTACGCTTCCCTCCGGTCCCTCGTCCCCGCAAACTCGGGTTAGAACCTTGGGAGCGACCTCGAACTGTGGCGAAACCTATGTTTGATGTTCTGGAGCTCGATGGCCTTGGTAAAGTTTGCGACTTTGATGCCACCAAGCTGGTTCCGGGCGAAGGTGCACGCCATTTTGACCGGCTGGCTGATTGCCGGGTTGCTCGAGAAACTGTCTCTACGACAGACTCGATAGCAGAATCCTTTGCTGGCTCACTTTCAGAAAGATTAGACTCCAACTTTAGTTGAGCTAACCGATTTGAGCAGGTGCAATCTCCTATTGTTTGGCTCGAATCTGTCCCAGACAACGTCTGCTCCTCAGGTTGAGGCTGCATCGGACCCATCGGCCAGTTGTTAGTCCGAGATATTTGTCTTAGCCAAGCCGGAGCATCCACATTGTCAGAATCTAATGATTCCGAACCAAAGGGTGCGATGGATGTGGATATATCGCTACGAACCTTGTCCTTCTCTCTGTTGGTCTCGACTGTATGCAAATTATCGCCACGATTCATGGCTCTTGAAGATTCAGAGCGAGGATTTGACTTGGATGAAACACGCCCAGACTTAGAGCTGAGGCAGGATGAGTCAAAGCTCGGCTTGGTTGCTATAGGTACTCGAGGCCTGGACCTAACTGGCAGCGGGGTTTTGGCCATAACTGCGGAGGTTTCAGGAAGCTTGCCCAGCTCACTACTAAAATAAGGAATGGGAGGTCGGGGATGACATGAATATAAATCCAATTTGGCCGAGTGGCGCAGGCGATGGACGCTATTTACAGGAGCTTGCCACCAGTCGGAAAGGCTGCGATGTGATGCGTCGCGCAATATATGCTGGCCAGTATGAACTGTAAACACAAGATAAGAAAATTAAATAGATATAATAGATGCTATTTCTCAGAGCTTAAATTGTTAGTACTCGTGGTCCAATGCAAAATTTTAAATTTCTTACATGAAACGATCAGTACGCATCGATGGAGAGCCTATGGAGAGTCTATTATATCCAAAACTCGCATATTGGAGGATGATGTGTATAGTTTTATGACAACGTTCTAGCGAAAAAGGACAAAAATGGACATGACCTGTCTGTAAAAGTGAAAAAAATACCCTGGCTTTAAAGGCCTTATTCATGGAAAAGAGAATCAAAAGTCCCACCTGAAGATTGCGACAGAAACGTGCAGGACTTTTTCACAAAAATCGAAATATATTACCTTGGAAACAGCATCCACAAGAATGTTTAGCTAAAGCCAATCGACAACTGGTCAAGAGGAATCCACTATCATCTCATGGTTGGATCGACCATCGAATCACTTAGCTAATGTAATTTCATTCGAAATAAAAGTGAGGTTAACAATTAAATTTTCGCAAAATATGAGTAGGTCTAACGAAGCCATTAAATGTCACATAGCCTTGCCTCCAAAAAAGGTGGTGGGAGGGACCCAGGGTGTATCGTAGCTTAGCCCCCATCCGGGTACCATCAGCACCACCAAAAGGAATAGAACTTGTATCGTACAGACGTGAATTTCAAGACAAGCCAGACCTCTACAATATCACATTTTTTTATAGTGGGGCTGAACATGAAGCAATCAATGTGGGAAAACGCACTGTCGATAACGACTAGCCTGGTCCGACTCAGGGTGACTACACTTCTCATTCTAGGTCTAATGAATAGTCTCGAAAATATACTTATGATAAATGCAAATGATGAAAAAATACATAGGTATAGTAGAGAAGAATGAAAAAAAATAAGGGTGCAAGAATCAATTGAAAAGTGGTCCTGAAATTTGCGGATGCGACTGCCAAAACCGAAAAAAACTTGGGGACTTATGATAAAGTAGACATTTGCATAAAAAGGAGCCATTGTAGTCAACATTAATTGGCATCTATATAAATATTTGTAAATATTATTACAAAGTAATGTTACAATCCTCATGATTAGGTCTACTAGACTACCAGTAGATCTGATATAAGAACTGTATTCATCCTATTTGTTTAAGGTGATTAAGGACTGATATTGAATTTTCCTGCAAATATTCCAATTACTTT